TCGCTGTAACACATCACTGAGATGGGATAGTTTACTGCGTTGTAACTATTTGGCTTATGGCTCTGGGTCTGGGAAGTTTTAGCCTGTGTTTGGCATCTGGTGAGGCCCGTTAGCTGTGTCATAACATGTTAAGTATATGTGTCACCTTGGGTCTCCTTCTGGTAAAGTCACTAATTGTCACTATGGGGGCTCAGCCTCCTTGTCACACCTGATCCGAGTTGCCTCTTAGAAACCCAGGTCCTGGCTTGTTTTCTATTGCTGTGATAAACACCATGACCACAAGCAGCTTGAGGAAAAGAGGGTTCATTTCACCTCACAGATGACAGAGCATTAGAGAGGGAGGTCAGGGCAGGAGCCTGGAGGCAAGGACTGAAGGGAAGTCATGGGCGAACGCTGCTTAATGAAGGCCCGACCTCGGCTTGCTCAACCTGATTTCTTATACAATCCAGGACCACCCACCCAGAGATGGAACTGTCCACGGTGAGTTGGGCCTTCTTACGTCAACCATCAATCAAGAAAAGGCTAGCCTGATTGGAGGCAGTTTCTCAACTGAGGTTCCCTCTTCCGGAGATTCTCACTCTTGAAACTAGCCAACAAATTAATTAAGTAAGTAAGTAATCAGTAAAGGCCCCATCTCTAGATGCATTCATTACACATGCTTTGGAGATTGTTTCTAGCACATGAGTCTCCAGGGGACACACCAACATTCCTTTAAGTATTAGTCTTAATGTCACCGCAGAGACACAGGCTCTGAACTCCTTTTGCTATGGTTTTGTTTTGTTTTGTTTTTCTCCTTCCCTTCTCCCTTTTGTGCCCGCCCCACTCACTCCGCCCCTGCTGGGCTATCGCTCTGGCCCGAAGTACACTGTAGCTGTCTTCAGACACCCATACGAGGGCATCAGATCTCATTACTGATGGTTATGAGCCACCACGTGGTTGCTGGGATTTGAACTCATGACCTCTAGGAGAGCAGTCGGTGCTGTTAACCACTGAGCCATCTCACCAGCCCCTTTCCCTGTTTTCTATTGTAAAAGCAACCTGTTTATTTCCCTTTAACACATCACATTCTACATGGTCTCATTTATTTGTTTACCTCTCTTGGTCTCTGTAGCTGTAGGAGGACGACACATGCTCCAAGAACACAGCAACCAAGGCTGGCTGGAGCGTGACTACCTTCACATCTAGAATGGTGGCCAGCCACAGCAGATCTCCGTCAAATGAATGAAATGAGGTGCTTTTGTTTCAGAATCACAAATTACACAGTTATACAGTAAATATGTTGCTAGGAATTATCTGATGTCTGTTTTCCTGATGCCTTGATTTTTCTGAGATGCTGGGTTTACGGCAGCATCCCCTGCCTTATGCAAATAAGGATGGACCAGAACATTTAGAAAACTACAATCATAAACATATTCATGTATGGTATAGTCATAAGAGAAAACATTCAATCATAAACCAGTCTACAAAGTGAAGCCCCGAGCTAACTGCAGTTTTAACTGAAATTTTATTCTCCCCCCGGAGAGAGGGACAATGTTCAACCTCCTTCATAACCAAACAAACACACATCTTTTACCTTCCAAATGGGCAAGTATTTTATTTTTTAAGATAACACTCTTTTGGCTAGGGCAACGTGAAGTGAATACACTGTTGTGCATCTCCAGTAAAAGCCTCAGTTGAGGGGCTGGAGAGATGGCTCAGTGGTTAACAGCACTGGCTGCTCTTCCAGAGGACCCAGGTTCAGTTCCCAGTACCCACAGAGTGGCCACAGTTTGTGATTGCAATTCCAGGAGATCCAGCGCCCTCTTCTGACCTCTGTTGGTACTGCATACACATGCTACACAGCACCCAAACACCTTAGCATACAAATAAAATATACAAAGTCAGCATTTAAAAAAAAAAAAGAAAAACCCTCAAATTAGAAAACATTTTCTAGAAAAACAATGTACCAAGCTGCACTGAAGTTATTATACATTGTCTACCTGGCATGTCCAGCTGAGGAAATAATATGAATTTATTGACCGTGTAAGTTAAGTAGATTAATATTACAGATCATGAAGTTGTTTACTTTGAAAGTATCTAAATACAGTCAGGTATGGTCTTAGAAATATACACATGTCTCTATGAAATAATGGATGGGCAGTGTATGCATACGGTTTTATTTTTAGAAAGGTCACTTTATTTTCACAAAGTATTTAACTACAATGAAAATTAATTCCATGTTATGATATTAAATGGAGAAAAAACAGTCAACTAAAAAGTATACACTGTATCCCAAATTTGCTAGAATAAGTATACATCTGAATGAGTCGAAAAGTTCATAAAGTCGAGGCTGGAGAGATGGCTCGGCAAGTAAGAGCATTTGCTGTTCTTGCAGAGGACTTGGGTTTGGTTCTTTGCATCCACAAGGAGCCTCATAACCATCTGTAGCTCCAGTTCTAGTAAACCCAATGCATTTTTCCGGATCCATGGATACCAGGTACAGATATGCACATAATACATACATACACACATACATACATACATACATACATACACACATACATACATACATACATACACACATACATACATACATATTTGTAAGTTCTTACATATAAAATAAAAGTAAATAAATCTTAAAAAAATAGAAAAGCCCATAGACCAATATAAAAATGTTAATAGCAATGATCTCTGAGTATATTGCTAACTTTAAAAAAAAATTTCCTGTTAAATACTGCAGATAATGTAATGTTCTGTGTCTTCTATGTTTATATTTAATCAGAAAAGGTTTAATGAAAAAGAGGGGACTGGAGAGATGGCTCAGTGGTTATGAGTCCTGGGTTTGATTCAGAGCACCCAGGAGATCCGTTGCCCTCTTCTGGATTCTGCAGGCACCAGACATGCTTGTGATACGCAGACACCCATGCAGACAAAACACACATACCCATAAAATAAAATAATGAAAAAAAAATGGACATGAATAATACATAGCTACATGCAATGCCATGCATGTTCATTAAAAAGCTTTAAAAACAAAGCAAAAGCCAAACCTGGACCAGGTGGAAGGAAAATCCTCAGCTGTGGCTTTAAGGTTGACTCAGTGGCTGCCTAGCAATGTCACAGATAGCCCGAGATAAGTTAGGATGAATGCTAATTACCGACCAGCAACAGTAAGTCCCTTATCTAGAAAACAGTTCAGAGACTGGAAAATACATTAGAAGAAGGACCCGGGGTGGTCCTTTGGACTATTGGATCAATGTGTTTAAAGCCAGGCACACTATAACTCTAGTCCGGGGGTTCTCATGCTTCCTTAGGCTGCTACCCTTTGATACAATTCCTGTTGTGGTGAACCCCCACCATGAAATTATTTTTGTTGCTATTTTATAACCAGTTGTAATGAATGTAATGTAAATATCTGTGTTTTCCAGTGGTCCCGGACGACCTCTGTGAAAGGGTCGCGACCCTCAGGTTGAGAACTGCAGCTCTAGTCCAATCCCTACTCTCCGCCTGGAAGAAGACTCAAGTGTTGCCTCTCCTCACTGGGCGCATCAGCCAGTCTCCTGTGCTGACGTCAGAAAGCATGCTTCAAAGCACTTTTTAGAACCCAGGCTCCCCCGGCCACCATCTTCCTTTATTTTTCTTACAGGAAATTTTAGGGGTTTATCAGATTATGTTAAAAGTTGAAGGTGGGCGAGGGATAGTGGCTTGCCTTAAATCCCAGCGTGCAGGAGACAGAGGCTGAGGTGGACAGAGGCTGAGGCGGACTGGTCACTATGTAGACCAGGCCAGCGTGAAACTAAAGAGGGGTTAGATTCAAAATCCTCCCGTCTTTCTACTCTCTCAGCTACTTCCGCCAGCAGCTGCTCGTGTCATCACTTGGGTTTTACTGTGTACATCCCTGGGCAGTGTACTCCCTCAGAATTAAGGAAATAGGATAGCCATGTTATCCAGTTCTCACAAGGAGACCCGCACCCTTGGGTCTTGCTTTCAAATGACCCATTCATAGTTTACTGGATGCTATCTTTTTTGCATGCTGATAAGAGAGAGATTCATAACATCAATCTTGCCTGTTCATGAACTGTCCAGAAGGTAGCCACACCCACTCCCAGGTGCTCAGGGTCCATGCCCAAGAACAGCTGCTGGAAGATGAGGCTCCTGGGTTGCAACATCTTGAAGCTCCCTGTGATCCTTCAACAGGCCTGTGGCCTGCTCCTGGTGTTCTGCTCTCTGTGCCTCAGAATGACTCATCTGTTACAGTGAAGAATGGAAGCTCCTGTCCTGGAAAGGGCCTATTCCCAAGCTGCTGCAGGGTACCACAGTGTAGGCCCAAACTCCTACACCTCCTTTGAGCACCTCCTTGAGATCACAGGTCCGCCCCCTGACCCCAAGCCCAAGGTAACACAAAACCACTGTTGGGCTTGGATGGTTGCCTGGGCAGGAGATGCTGTGGTCAGCACCCTCACTGGGTATTCAAGGACTGATGGTTCAGTCACCCTGGAGTTATGACCATGATGTCATATCTTGTGACTTCTTCTGTCTATCATTTTGTTGATGACCTATGTGGAGTGGCCTTTGGAAAAGATCAGAGGCACAGGAGTGCAAAGAAAAGGCTGTGTCAGCTTTCAGCACTCAGATTGGGTGGGGTGGAGGGGTACAGGGGACAGCATGGGAGTTGGGTGGATGGTGGTAGGGAGACAGGGGACTGTATCTGACACTGATATTCAGAATGGACAATTGTAATTTTTTGCCTTTGAGATATAGTAATACAATGTGAGGGAATGAACTCATCTCTGTGATAAAGCTAACAATAAAAATACTCATAAAAACATTGTGTCTATACTGAACACCTCAGACTTCTGTTGTTGTTGTTCCTGAACTAGCACAGTGGGTCTACCAAGCACACAGTCTGTGTGTTATCAGGTATTGTAAGTCAATCAGACATGACTGAAGGTGTAGGAAAGGGCTGCTGGCTGGTCGCTGGCCTGGCTGTAAATGCCACACCATTTACAGAAATGGACTAGGAACATTAAGAAAGGACTAGAACATTGTGGATCATGGTACCAGGCCTCAGTGGACTGCAAAGTGATCTCCACTTAGAATATACCCAAGCTGAACTCTGTTGGTGACCGTTTCTTTCCCGTTTATTTCTCAAATATGTGTTTCTTTGACTATTGTGTTGCCGCCCTGACATCCTGACCCGTGTCCCTTTCTCGCCCAGACACACCCTGTATCCACCTGTTGTTTCTTACTCAGGTACATTCTGTCCACAAATTTGTTCATTTGGACTTGCTGCTGCTGCTACTTTTATTTTTTTCTATTTATTTATTTAGCTATTTATTTACTATTTTTGTACGTATTTATTTACTTAGTCTTGTGGGGGCATTGCCATGGCACATATGTATATAAGTCAGATGACAACTTTCAGGCATTGGTTTCTCCCTCTACCAGGGGTTGAACTCAGGGTCCTTGGGCTTGGCAGCAAGAACCTTTCTTTACACTCTGAGCAGTCTCACCAGCCCTTGTTTCTTCTTTTGATTCCAAACAGATGTGTGAATCTGTTCATCTTGGTTTCATCTTGGTTAAAGAAAAAGAAATCCAGTACACTAGTTAATTGTAGTGATGAGTTTGTGCTACACGGCTTCGGCTCCAGGAGGACTGCAGGCACGCACCCACCCAGGAGCTATCTTTGAATCTTCGAATGAAAGACACACAATCACACGTTAGCTTATTTTTAAAATGCCTTGGCTACCTCAAAGACTGGGTACTCCTAAACCTTTTCCTGTTATCCCAGACCCTATCGGGGTAATGGCCAGTGGTCTCCCATGCAAGTTCTCACATGACTCATTGACTCTCTCTCCTGCAGCTCTCCTCTTCTGTCTCCCACGCCATCCTGGGGATCCTCCATCTCCCTCCTCCTGCCTCATCTCCCTGTGCCCAGCCATTAGCTGCTGGCATCTTTATTGATCGATCAAAAACCAATTGGGGACAAGGACCTTTAGCATTTGGACATGCAGATTCTCAGTAGAATAAAAGCATCAGGACCAATCTCCAACAGTTAATGATGACAAGGTAGATTTCATTCACGGGGAAGGGGTTCATGGCAATGGGTAGGGAGACCATGAGATGGAGTGTGGAAGAGAAAGAACCCAGGTTAAACTCCATCTTCCAGGTGATGGAAACTTAGTGCCCATATTCATATGTTGATGTTAGGTGGAGCTGGTGCCTCTAGGAAGTGGTTACAGTTAGATGAGGTTCTATAGCCTGGTGGAAAAGAGGCCTAGGCTGCCAAGCTTGTTCCGTAACACCATGTGATGGCCTTGGCCTTGTTAGGATGTAGCCAGAAGGCTGCACTAGATCCCAGTGTCATTCTCTTGAACTTCCCAGTGTGTGTGTGTGTGTGTATGTGTGTGTGGTGTGTATGATGTGTGTGTATGTGTATGGTGTGTGTGTGAGTGTGTATGGTGGGTGTATGGTGTGTGTGTGAGTATATTTGTGTTTGTGTGTGTGGCGTGTGTGTATGGTGTGTGTTTGCGTGCTTTCACGTGTATAGTGTGTTGTGGGAAATAGACCAACATGCTTCCCACATTCCTGCCGGCAACTCTTTGCCCTGCGTGGTCCTACCACCTTGGTCTCTAGCTAGCCCAGCTCTAGTTCACTTGTCTCTGGAGCCTCTAGTTCCTTCTCAGCCATAACACCCCTGTGGTCAGCAGTCCCACATTCCAGTAACCATCTAGCGGGGTGTTCTCATCTCAGCAGACTTTCTGGCCCAGGGCCCCTGAGACATCTCTACTGGACTTGCTAATTTCCTTTGGTGGGGTCGCTGCCATGCCAGCCCCATGCAATGACCGCCTTGTGATTAGATATCACAGTACCCAGTAACCCAGTAAGATCAAAACTCTTGAAGCTTATAATTAACCAGTCAGATTTATATATCAATAAATTCTCAGTTCACAAGATACCCACACAATAGTTTCAAGACCAGTTGTTCATGGTTCAAGCTGTCCATCTAGATCAGACAAGTTATCCCGATTATTCTATCCCTATATGATATTCATAAGAACCTGTGTCTATTTAAAACCACGCGGAATCAGGATCTTCTTCCTGTCTGTCCTCCCTCTTGCTCCTTCTCCTCTCTCTCCTTCTCCATCTCTCCCTCCGAAACTCTTAGCTCCACCTCCTTTTTCCCTGTCCAATTACAGGCCTCCTGCTGCACTAATATTTAAATAGACTGGACAGGGAAAACCCTGCCACATAAGTGTGTGGGTATGGTATGTGTGTTTGTGTGGATGTTTGTGTGTGTATAAGTGCGTATATATTGGTGTGTGTGTTTCCATGTGTTTGTGTGTGTGTGTGTGTGTATGCATGTGTGTCTGTGTGTGCATGTATGGTGTGTCTCTGTGTCATCGCAGTCTCAGCTATACAGTTATAACAGAAGACAAAGATATGATCTATTTATTCATCCTTTGTGCCTGTCTCCGGTCCTTCCCTCCACTGTCTGTGGTAGTAGACAAGCCTGATTTTTTAGCTTTAAGATGACACCCAACTGCTCTAACACCTTTACACCTGGTGGTACCATTCAGTCTTACATCGCTGTAGTTCATTCTTTACACTGCTGCCAGAAGACAATCTACCTCAAATGTAAAGCAGACTGTCCAGCTTATCTACTGAGAGGGAAACTTGAGGGTGCGAGGGCAGAAAGCAACAATGTTGAACATGTTGGAAACAGGTGTTTTTTTGGGGGGAGTGGAAATCTAGTTAGACTCACAGGATTTGACATTCTATTAGGATAGGGAATTAAAAGAGAATTCTAGAAAGTTGCTATTCACATAACCCCCAAAACGTATATAAGCAAAATATGCATGGTGCTTTCCTTTCCTTCTATCAGAGCTGCATGATGGGCAGCAAGGAGTTAGCGTGAAGGAAGGAAGTCTTTCAGCTGCGCCCCTGTACTGGGCAGCATTCTCAACGGGGAGATAAGAACAAAAATGAGAGGGCCTGGTCTGAAGAAGCCTCAACTCCTTGACATCAGCTGGTCTCTTCTCAATGTGTCCTCATGATATTTCTCCTGTGGTCTCTCTCCCCTATTAGATACAGTAACTCAGGTTAACCTTTTAAGTATGCTATGGAGGATGTCCCCCAACCCCCGTCACATGCCCCAGTAGGCATAGCAGAGTTAAGGCTTCAAACAGTAAATCTTTGTCAAACAATATTCCATCCAGGAGGCCCTGGAGCAATGGCTCGGAGGTTAAGAGCACTATGTGAGTTTGGTTTCCAGCACACACGTGACAGCTCAAAACGCATCTGTAACTCCAGTTCCAGGGTTTCCAGCGCCCTCTTCTGGGAACCAGGGACACTGCATGCAAGCAGTGTGCAGACATATCCAGGTGAAACACTCATATTCATAAAATAAATCTTTAAAAATAATAATATGCTAGGTCATCTGGTGTCATTTATTCTAGGAATTTAATCCCAGAAAACTAGAGATTTGTACTAATTTTCTTCTTTTTAGAAACCCTCAAGGTAAACTTTCCTGGGAAAACAAAATGCCTGCTAGAGAGTTACTTATTTCACCAGAAAAGTGGGTTAACAACTTGTACCAGGAAGAAGTGGATG